CGCCAGACTGGGCCGTTCTTAGTAAGGAATAGGGGAACAAAATCCGTATACAATTAATGTAGAAAATGTCCCCGTCTTCCCTTCTAACCCTAAATCTTAATTAAGCCCTATGTATATAAAAAATGTACTTTCTTACTCCCTACTAAAGAATCCCTGCAAAATCCCCATTCTTCACTCTGTATTTGATCCCTACAAAATCCCTATCTAGTCCCTAAACCCTAAACCCCGAACCCAAAACCCTAAACCCTAAACCCTTAAATCCCTAAATCCTAAACCCTAAACCCTAAACCCTTAGATCCCTAAATCCTAAACCTTAACACCTAAACCCTAAACCCTTAAATCCCTGAATCCTAAACCCTAAACCCTAAACCATTGAAACCCTAAATCCTAAACCCTAAACCCTATATGACAGACTGGCCTTGGCCAGGTGGCTTTGAAGTTCTGCCTGCCGCTCAGCCTGTGCCTCCGGCTTTTTTTTTGTGGGACCTTTTCTCCAAGCCCGGATTAGGGCTTAGGGTTTAGAGTTTGGGGTTTCTGGTTTAGGGTTTAGGGTTTAGGATTTGGTTTGGGGTTTAGGGCTTAAGGTTTCTGAATTAAGGCCTAGGGTTTAGGGCTTAGGTCTAAAGTTAAGGGTTTAGAGGGTTTGGGGCTTAGGGTTTAGGGCTCGAGCCTCCAGATTCTCGGAGTCCTCTCCGGAGCCTTGCAGACCATCAGCACTTTTTCGTGCGCCAAACCCCAGAAAGCCATACATGAGCATATCTATATGCATATATCCATAAAAACATACAAGCACACGCTCACACATACACACGCAGAAAGGTAAATATGTACATATATATATATATACATGCATATATATATATGTATATTTGTATGCATATATGTATACATACATATATAATATATATGTATATATACATATGTATGCACACATGTATCACCCGATTAAAGAGTCCACTTTTCCGCTGAGGGGCAGTGGACTTGCAGAGTGGCGATGAAACTGCGCTTTCGCTCCGCGTCGTCTCGACTCAGCCGCCTTGGCGCAAATGTGGCTCTCATGTGAGCCATGATCTAAACCCCTTAAAGGGGGTGATATAGGGGAGTATGGGGAACTATTATGGGGCTCATGAAGGGGGATGCTAGGAGTTTAGACTGTAGCTTTTGAAATAACGTAAACAAAAAGGATTTATAGGCCTTGTCAGGATACATGGAGTCATACAAAAAATGTAGGATTAAGAACATGGGAGCACTGTTATAAGGGTTCTGCTATATAGGGATCTATATTGGGGCTCCCTTTTTTGGAAACTACCTACTACGACTGCCACCACCACTGCATGTTGACATCGAAATTTCCCTAAACCCTAAACCCATATGAGCTGTGAGCTGTAGCCTAAACTCCTAGTATCCCTTAATAACCTGAAAAAACACCCGTAATAACCTCTAAAATACCCCCTTATTTAATCCCAGATATAAGCCCTTCAAGGAGTTTAGACTGCAATTCATGTTGGAGCTGCGTAACTTGCGGCCTAAGCACAGCTGCTGCTCCACCTCTTCAAGCTCCTTCCTCAGCAGCTGCTCCTCACACCCGAGCGTCTAGAAACTGTCTACCTTCGCATCATGTTATGTTACTGGGGGTTAGTGAGGAATAAGGGAAACTGTTATGTAGGGATTTGTATCCCCTTCTTCCCCACTAATTCCCAGCAAGATATGGCTTACACCCTGAAATCTGCTCTTGAGAGCAGACAGCTAGAGCAATTGCGAAGAGCCCCTCAGCCCTAAATCCTAAACACTAAACCCTAAGCCCTAAGCCCTAAAACCAACCAACATCTCGCAGGATTCCCTCCCTCTTTGCCAAAGGTCCTCACGCTCTCCGACGGCAACCTCCTGCTTCAAGACCTGCGAATGCGCAGTTGCTACTTACTGTGACACATTGCCATGTGAGCTACATGGTCTAAACTCCTTACAGGGGGTTATAAAGGAGTATTGTAAGCTGTGACAAATTATTATGTGAGAGCTCTAGTCTACACTCCTTAAAGGAGGCTATAAGAAGGTATTATAGGGGTTCTTAACGGCGATACTAGGAAGTCAGACTATAGCTCATGTGAACAACTTGAAAACGTCACCTCCCAGCTCCTTTAGCAAACAAAGTTCACACATCCCCTCAACCCTAAACCCTAAATCCTAAACGGCTATTCCTAAAAGCCTGAAGCCTAAATCCTAAACCCCAATTCCTAAAAGCCTAAACCCAAAACCCTACACCGCTATCCGATCCCATTTCTCTTTCTCACATCCTCGGGGCCTCCTTTTGCTCCCGCGCTTGGCGAAGCTGGGCATGGAGCCGCTGCAAGTCACGGGCCGGGACCTGGGAGAGCTGTGCCCCGCATTATATAATATAAAAACATAATATATTATAATGTAATACAATATAATACAATACACCATAATGTGATACAATATAATATAGTATACCATTATATAATGCAATGTATAGTATATTATAGTATAATAGTCTTTGCAACAAACTGCTTGCTTCACATCTGTTTTCTGAAAAATGCAGCCGGCCCCTCATTTTATGCCTGGAAAATGGCAGCCGAGCCGCAGCGATCACCATCTTCTGCGGTGTGGGGGCCACAGGCTCCGGGTCAGGCAGCGCATCCACTTCAGCCACATTGCGAAGCACCTCCATCTCTTCAAGCAGGGTCGCTTCCTGACTCCGGATGGCCGCAAGCTCCGTCAGAAGTGCCTGCAAAGCAGACAGGCGTGTAAGGGTTCTCCTGGTTGCGCTTCCATGTTCTCCCTGTACAGCCCTAAATACCCTTTCCACACCCTTGCATGGTAGCTTCCCTAAATAAGGGGACCCAAAATACTATACTCTTTACAGTGGATTGATAAGGTGCCCCTAATTTGGAAAACCCCTATAGCCCCATATGGCCAACTCCACTGCTGGGGTCTGCAGAAGGCCCTAAACCCTAATCCCTAAACCCCCAAACCCTTAACCCNNGTCCCTAAACCCCTAGGCCCTGAACGGCCTGCTCCCGCTGCCGCGGGGCAGCGCCGCTGTGGCGCTGCTCGGCGTCTGCGAAGAGCGACTCTGCATCCTGTAGCCTCGACTATGGTGGAATTATATGGGGGTTTAGGGTTTAGG